ATTGATTGGTTGGTTGGTTGATTGATTGATTGATAAAATTCATTCATTTTTCTTCATTCCTCAACAGGCATTGAATGTAGGAATCTTTGATTTTGACTCGTTTGACCCTGACTACTACAGCCATTACGAAGTTTGTTCAGTTTTCTTGTTTTACACACCTTCAATCATCAGTTATTAATTTGGTAGCAGTACGTTTCATATAGTTTGATTAGTAATAGTGTAACACCGTACTGTCATATTTCTAACAGTTAGTAGTGTAGTGTACCAGTGTATGTAATGTATGATTGATGAAACCGCTACTCAGAAAGTAGAGAATGGTGACATGAATTGGATTGTTCCTGGTAAGATGATGGCATTCTGTAGTCCACATCTATGCTCCAAGATTGATAGAGGTTTGTTTGTTTGTTTGTTTGTTAGTCTGTTTGTATGTCTGTCTCTGTTGTTTCTCTACTTATATGTATTTGTTGGTCTGTTTGTATGTCCGAGGGTGTTTGTTTGTATGTGTCTGTTGTCCATTTGTTTGAGTCTGTGTGTCTGTCTGTTGGTTCATTTGTTTGTTCAGTTGTTTGTCTTTGTAGTTGTAGGCTCTTCACAATGGTTAGTTTTTAATATGGTACCTTCATTCGTTGTTTGCTAGATTTTGTAGAAAACAATTAAATCATCCGTCATCAGGTGTCACCCTGCATGGGCCAGAACTGTACATAGAGCACTTCAAGAAGGCCAACATCAACGTGGTTGTCCGGCTGAACAACAAGACGTACGAATCGAATTCATTCAAGAAGGCAGGCCTCCAGCATCACGATCTCTACTTTCCAGATGGTTCCACGCCGTCTGTCTGTCTGGTTGAGAAGTTTCTTAAAATATGCAGGGAGGCCGAAGCTAAGGGGGTTGCCGTGGCAGTCCATTGCAAAGGTCGTCGGCGTGTTGTGGTATGGTACATTTGTACGTCTGTGTCGTTGTTCGTATTCGTTGACCCTGCGGTAGTTTTTTTTATTTTGAAGAATCCACCTTTTGACTGATTGGTGGTTGGATGGTTGATTGGTTGATTGAATAATTGGTTGATTGACTGATTAATTAATTGTTTGATTGGCACCCTAATCAGCCGGATTGGGCAGAACAGGCACTCTAATCAGTTGATTGACTGATTAATTAATTGTTTGATTGGCACCCTAATCAGCCGGATTGGGCAGAACAGGCACTCTAATCAGTTGCTACCTGATGGACAAGTATGGCATGACCGCTAAACAATCCATTGCGTGGACCAGGATCGCCAGGCCAGGATCCGTCATGGGAGTCCAGCAAAACTTTCTTGAAAAGTTGGTTTGTTGTACAGAGAGGAGATAGATTAATTCAGATGTTTGTTTATTTTTACATATTTCATAAATTTCTCCCCAACGCAGGATGGAGTCAAGTTTATTGAGGAAAGAGGAAAAACTTTCTTTATCATTGTCATCTCTACCTTCCCCGCAGGTCGACTCTAATAATGATGCATCTCCAGAGAAAAAATCTTCCACATCGTTACCCCCAACATCTTCGCCACCATCTGTGGCCGCCACAACGGACACCACTGCATGCATCAGCGATATAGAGAATGGTCTGAATGACATTGCATTGGATAGAAACAAAACAGCCCACGTCCTCTCATCTCTGCACAACACATCTTCCATTTCAGATTCGTCCTCCAATTCGACAAGCAAGTCGAGTCGTGCTGGGGAGGTTGAAGATGATGTCGATGACGTCATTGCTGCTGTTGTTGATGGTGAAGAAGAGGAGCGTGATGGCAATGTTGATGATGAACTTGGTAATGATGATGATGCTGAGAACAAAACTAGAAGAATTAAGGTTTTTTATTTTTTGCTAGTTTTTAATTAATTAACTAATTAATTAATCCATCATTAAATTAATTAAATAATTAATTTAAAAACTATTTGTCTCTGCAAGTAAATGTTTTTCATACTTAGTTAATTTAAATTTTCCATTCAACCATAGAAAAAGACCCAAGGTGACATACTAAACGCCATCAAAATCAAGCGCCTCAGAAAGCAGATTGATGACGATTCAATGAGGTACTGTGTGGTGCTCTATAGCAAACAAAATCTTGTTTTTTTTTTGCAGCATTCACGCTGCAAAAGCTTTACATGCCAGCGTGCGTGCTACAAAATTCAGTTATGAAATGGAATGATGGTTGCTTTCAAACTTATGATGACCATTGTAGTTGATGGTTAGGTGACAATACATAAAAATAACAAATCTAATATTTTAGTGGCAGGTCATCTCTTGTGAGATCATGCAAAGCGGCCAAACAGAGCATTTCAGAGAAGAGTTTGGAGAGTTCACACTTCACTAAACTGCGACATGCTGCAGTAAGACGAGTGCCAACTCACCTGCCATCCAAAAAGACGTCGACGTCGTCGTCATCATTAAATTCTCATCTGCCAAACAAAAGGCATTCATCAAGTAAGTTGGATGCATCAGCTACTGCTACAACTTGTAGTCGTGGACGTGGTGCTGCTGGTAACATTGGTGGCGCTTTCATTGTTCAAACCAACACTGCAGATCTCACGTCAAATGTGGTCGGAGAAGCTGCTACAGTGACTTCTAAGGTAGCTAAAAAATCTCCTCGAAAGTCTGCACTGAATGTCGTTTCCAATGATTCATCAGAGGCATCAACTTCAGTTCAGACTAGGATGAGGAAGCAGACGAACATGCGGATATGACTAGCACGCCATCATCACGATAGTAATAATAATAACAATTATTACATTAGCAATGAGAACAATGATGATGATAGCAGGCACAAAACCATTAAGAAGTATTCAGGTAGGAGATTTAAGGTCATTTCAGAAAGAAAAACATATACTTCTAATTCTACAGTAACTAGCGACAATACTACAATTACTGTTAGTAGTAAAATTACTAATATTAACTCTAACCCTGATATTAAACTTGTCAATACTGTTGTTGTTACCGACACTAACTTTAATAAGAAGCGTAAGGTCTCAACTGCCAGCGACCTGCGTTCAAAATTTAAAATTAAAAAAGTGAATAACGAAAAAAATAAAAGCAGCACAACCAGCAGTAGCAGTAAAATTACTAACGCTAGCAGTAAATTCAACATTAAGGATATGGTAAAATATTACATCCGGCCTAGCGTTGTCCGGCTCATTAAGTTATGATGCTGGGTGTGTATAGATGGTTCTGTCGTGTAAATAAGGATGATTGAAAAACTTTCGTCGTCATTAGTTCACTTTTCCATTAGTCACAGCTGCTTTTAAATGTTATAAATTATAAATATACCATCAATCATTTGATATATAAATATATATATATATATATATATATATAATTTATTTGTTTGTTGTTAAATTCCAGTATTTATAATTGTTGTTATGTAATTTGTTAAGCTGAACGTTAGTGTTTGTTTTTTGTGCAATCTCGCAGAATCTGACCGATGAATGGTGGAGCTTGTTTCCTCTTGAACCTACATACCTATGGTATAGAATCTTAAGTGCATGTGAACGTTGTATGTGCGTGTGTGTGTGTGTGCAGTGTATACTTTTGGATATTTTACGCGTTTTACGGTTCTCCTCTCTTTATATATGTTCGTTCGCTTGTGTGTGTTGTTGCGCGTGTAATTTGATATTTGTTCGTAAGTTTCACGATAAAATTACAGTTATTGTGTTTGTGTACTTTTATTTGATATTTAGTTTGGACTTAGTTTTGTTATTTCGTCATCTTAGATTATGTCCGATCATTTCAGTTGCATTATGTTTTCCTTAAGTTAGCAAGAAAAGATGCCAATCAAAATAGTCATCGAAATGAAACATACATGCAAGTTGTAAACAGACACACACGTTTTAAACTTTGTGTTTCAATGGTTATTGTTGTTTATTATGTGTTTAGTCTAACTTCATGTTGTTAGCGTTCAGTGGTCGTTCAACTGTTCGATAACATCAGTTTGATGCGTCATATTTATTAATCGACTGACTGATTTATATTTACTTTGTTATGTGTATGTGCGTGCGTGCGCATGTGTTTGTTTTGTTATTGTCACGAAATATTTTGTAGAATTTTTTTCTCAGATATTCAACAGTTTCTTTTATAAATGTTATTTTTGTAGAATGTTGAAATCTGTATTTGTGAAAATTTTTTGTACAGAAACGTAAAGAGTTACAAACTCTTGTAATTGTTAAATTAATCTATTTTTTAAATTGATAACTTAATTAATTAAATTAATAAATGTATATTTGAATTATAAAGTTACAATATATTAGTTTCATCTATAAAAGAGAAACACCGAATGTTTAGCCTAGCCGAATTATCGATAGGCCGAAATTTGACGCTCTGCTTTGGCCGTTTTCAAAGACCGAATGATGCAATTTTCGTTTAAACTTTCACTTTTTGAGTTTCCAAAATAATTGCTAATTGTTGTTAGCGAAAAATATATTTCAGCCATTATAGCTGTTAAAACATTTAAAGTTAAACACGAGGTTGAATGTTATCTCGATGAAGAATTGTCAGACGACACGACTGTTTTTTATTCAGGGTTTGTTTTTCATTGTAAAAAATAAGAATTCAAAATTGTCGGATTATCGGTAGAGTGGATCAACTATTCGGTGCGTCTCCAGTTATCTTAAATAAATTTCTCCTTTTCGCACAAACACCCGTGTGTGTATATATATATATATATGTGTGTGTGTGTGTGTGTGTGTGTATGTTATGTATTATAAAGTATAAAAATGATGATTTAAATTTGTTTTATTTTATTTCTTAGTCAAATGAAAGTTTTTTTCATCGTCTATCAATGCATACATGCATTTTCGTGTTTATTTGTGTGTGTGCGTGTGACACAAAAAACGATTATTGTAGTTTATGTTATATTAAAATTAATATAATATTACAAATCGAAAATAAATAAATAAATACATTTAAATATCTTTCAAAAGGAAAAAATCAACTAAGCGCATGTCTTACTGTAGTGAAATGAAAGATTAAAATAAAAAATTACATTGAGGAATGGATGAATGAAAATTAGTATAAATTGGAAAGTAACGATCGTAATAATTGTACTCTGTCATAAAATAAATAAATATATATATATATATGTAATAGTGTGTATGTGTTTGTTTGTTTGTATGTAAGGGCGGACGTATATCCAAACAACTTGGCAAACTGAAAATTTTTTGGTGGTGGTTTTTTTTTGTTATCGCACAGTTTGTTGTCTTTTTTCCAATTTAAAACTGTGTTTTTATGTATACAAACGGTAAAATAAAAAGTTATTAAACAAAATATGCTGGGCAAATTTTCACTAAATTTTAACAAAATGGTTTTGAAGTGCTGTTGATAACGGGCCCGACCTCATAATACCTACACTGTGTGTGTGTGTGTGTGTTTATAGATACATACGTATTATTCAATGTGTAAACCATAATTAGAAGCAACGAAAGAAGAATAATAAAAAGATATTCAGTACAAAAGGCGTTAAAATATGATGATGAATAATATTATTAATAATTATTATTTTTGCTGTTCACTGATGTAAAAGTATTCTCCTTTAAATTTAGTTTACAATAAAAATACCAATTAATTAAAATAATTTTTAAATTAATTGTAATAGAAAAAAGAATTTGATGAAAAATTTTTTTTGATTGAACGGACGGATTTAAAACACTGATTTTTATGTACCATCAATAATATGGTCAACAAAAAAAGATAATAATAAATAAAAATAATAAATTTCATTTCTTTAAATGTTTTAATATCAATACAGAGAATACATACATAGATACACAAATACAAAATTATATATATAAAGTATATAAATACGAACGTGTGTGTGTGTATTTGTGCATGTATGTGTGCGTGCCAAAATTCAAACTGAGCTATTTCATGCGGCCCGCGAAGGCCTTGTTCGCCAAAAAAAGGTCGTCAGCCAAACACATTATAACCAAAAAAATGAGCCACAAATCTTAAAAAAATTCTCCCCCGGGTCGAAAAGTTTGCTGATTAAATACATATGCGGCCCTTCAAAGGTAAAATAGTTCTCAATGCGGCCCTCATGAATGAACGATGATTGACGGAGCGATGAATGGATAAATCGGGATCAACAATAAAGATCCCGAAAAATCCTGGAAATTAAAAAACTTTCAATCGAAACGATGATAATGCTAACCCAATTAAATTTTACAAATAATTTTTGATTGGCCAGAAAAAATTTCTCACTGGTGACCTATAAATAAATTAATAATAATAATAATCATAATAGTAATAGAAATAATAACAATAATATGCCAGCAGCCATATAAGGTCATGATCTGGTCCATATATTTGTTAAACCCTGAGTTCAATAACGTTAATAATAATAATAAAATTCGAAAATGACGGTGTGATGATTATTATCAAATATATTAATAACTCTAATAGAGACAACAAATTATGGATAAAAATATCTAGTTATAATTAGTTGTGTGTATGTTTGAGTGTGTGTGCGCGTGTGTATGAATGCGTAATTGTTGCAAATTTTAATTACGGAATGAAAATTGTATATCAAAAAATCAATTAGTCAATTAATCGATCAATCGACCGATCACACATCCAAACATGATTGACTAATTGTTAATTAATTAATCAATTAATTAAAAAATTTAAAAGAAAAATTAAAACAATTGACAAGTTATGGTCGAGGAAGATTTCTGTTAATAATAAATCATTCTCACCACATTATCACATTCTACGTCCTACCTCGGGAAACCGGGTCTCTGGACGCAAAACGAAGATTGATTGATTGATTATCACATTGCATTTTTTATGTAGCACCGAAATTTTTTTGCGTTTTTAAAACTCATAATTTTTATTTGGATCAAATGACTTTTGTATGTTAATTTAGAAAATTAATATTATCAATTCATTGCAATGAAATTAAAAAATGTCATTAATATTTGCTCAATTTAAACGAAATTCTGATTAGAAATCACAATATAATTGCAATTGTTATTATTATCATCACTGATTTTGTTGTTGTTATTGTTGTTGTTTTTATTACTGTTGTTTGCAACGTTATCATCAGCGCTGATCAACAATGTTCCAACGATGTTGTTGTTGTTATTGTTGGTGATGTCAACTTTACTAGTGGAGCTGTGAGTGCAATTGCTGTTTACGAAGCTGCTGAGTTTAGTCACGTTGTTGTTGTTGTTATTGTTGTTATTATTATTGTTGAACTGTAGTTGCCGCCGCTCCCACTTGAGCTTCAGTTCTTGGAACCTTTTGAAAAGGTAGAAGTCGGCGAACTCCATAGCTTTGTTGTGTTGCGTCAGCATGAACTGAGATGACTCTGCCCAGTTCATATTATTATAATTATATATATTATTATTATTATTGATGTTATTCGTTTTATTATAATTAGTGTTATTAGTATTTCTACTGACGTCACGCTCCACGGCGTCCCAAGCGTCAGCCTTGCCTTCCCAGTTCCTCACCAACTGCATGAACTTCTCGTTCGATCGACGCACCGGGTCATTGCGTTTCGAGACGTTACCGCTGGACTCAGCGAGGTCTCCACGACACCTTGCGTTGTCCCACTGATCCATGCCACTCCAGGTGCTTCCGTTGGCAGAGTTCTCCCCGCCTGGAGACGACAGAAGCAAGCTTTCGTCGATGGAGTAGTAGGAGCCGCAAGAACAGCCGCTCGCGTTGATTCGGTAGTTGCATAGAGAAGATGAAGTCAAATCCTCGTCGTCAAAATCGTTCACGTCATCGCTGTCGTTGTCGCCATCGCCGTCCATGCTACTTTCCTCCGATGTTAATATTTTTAATTTTTTTCTTTCCGATATTGTCTGGTCGTGATCGGTTCTTGAGAAGAACCTGCCCAAATATCGAACCAAGATGGCCGTTTCTTCGGGGTGCGTATAGACGGAGGATGTGCTTCTGTAGACTGTTGACGAGTTCGATCGGTGATGAGAGAGGTAGTGGTGACTTCCCCGACGTTTGGTGGTCGGCGAAGTTGGTGACGACGATGGGGATGATGTTGTTATTAATGTCGTTGGTTGATTAGGTGCATGGGAGAAGTGATCCATGATGGATGGCTTTAAGGAGGATTTTTCAGGAAAGAGTTGTTCATTTGAAGTAATACCGTTGCTGTTGTGTTGCGTTTGAGTTTGCTTGTAAGTAAATGAAGATGTTTTTCGTTTGCTTTTTGCTGATGATGAGGGCTTCTTCTCGTTCGCAGCATCTGACCCCAGAGCACTATCTCGACTGGAGGAACCACTGATGTTCTTTCTTGAAAAATCTGTCAACAATCGAAATTTCTTACCTACGGAATTTCCAACATCATCACAAAACTCAACATGTTGAGCTGTGTTGTCAACAAGTTGTGAGTTTGTTGTGACGTTGGTAGACGTTGACAACAAATCGCAAGAAGCGCTGGTGGACGATGTTGAGACGGCGGCAGTCGTTGTTGGCGGAATGTTCGTTTTTGGTAGAGTAATTGCCGACTCTTCGTCGCAATTGTTGTAGCGTTTGTTGTTGCAGCTTTTGTCCTTACTGCCGCTTTGTTTGATCCTCTTATCGGCGCTGTTGCAATCAGGGAAGAGAGCCGAACTCGTCGGCAGGGAATTGCTTCGTTGATGGCAGCTGCGACTAAAATGAGGATTGGTGGGAGTCGGGGGTGGGGCAATGACGGTGGGTGACATAGCTGATGGTAGGAAGTTGAAGGTGAGGTACTGATTGGGCTGTTGACCGACACTGTGCTGATGCTGAAGTTTATGTTTCCTGTGACGATGTTGAAGCTCTCGTGGTGAATGAAGCTCTAGAAACTCGCAGCAATCACTCAAAATACCCCTATCTGTGTTGTCGTCGTCCTCTTCTTTCGTCTTATCAACATTCTGAAGAGGCTTGTCGCGGCTGCTGGCTGCCACAACCATCAGCGATCCTTCAATTCTATCTGGTTCGTGGACCACCCACTTGGTCCCACGCAACTTGTCAGGGAAGGGGTTTCCCTGCTGTGGGGCGTAATAAATGTCGTCCCTGCTCATCACCTTGCCCACGATCATGGGCGTTACGGGGACGAACTTGTGCTGCCGTGCACCAATGGCAGTGGCAATGGGAGGAGTTAGGTTTTTGAATGGAAAGTTTTGATTGGCTGGAGAGTTAACAGGGGTGATTCTTCTAATATTTGTAACGTTTGGTAATAGTAATGAAGCAGGTGATGGTGATGACGAGAACGATGATCCGAGAAGTGTCGGTGATGATGACGACGATGATTGTATTTCCTCCAAAGTTCGTTTTCTTTGTCTCAATTTCTCATCTGCAATGGAGAAAGGAAATAAGAGATTTCAATCATCAGTGTAAAAATGTTCCCATCAATGACGACGCATGAACAATCAGAAACCTTCAATCCTAAGTAGACCATCATCAACATTAACATCATCCTAATAAACAGAACAACCAACCAACCAACCAGCCAGTCAGCAAATTAGTCAGCCAATCACAGACACACACAGACAGACAGACACAGAGACGGACACGAACCTAATATTTTCTCAAGCAACATCCTGTTAAGAACATTCTTGCCGCTATTGACCACACCCAATCTGCCGAGGTCAGCCAGAATGACCGCCATATGCGCGCTGCTCTTCATCACCTGCAAGCTGCCCACGATCTTCCAGAATGACGGTCGTTTGCTGGGATCGATCTGTGTGTGGGGAGGAAGAAAAAGAGGAAGATGGTGAAGATGATAAGGATGAAGAAAAAGATGAAGATGATGAGAATAACAAAGGAGATGAAGATGATGATGATGATGGAGAAAACGACGAAGATGCTGATGAAGAAGATGACGTAGATGATGACGAAGAAGATGACGCAGAAGATGATGATGTGATTGGACGATAACTAGCATATATACGTGAACTAACCTGACAACATATAAAGGCCTGGTGGAGAAAATGAAGGGGGCAGTCTGACGACATCTTGCTAAACTCAACGTAATCGACGCCATATTTCTTCAATTAAATAATTAAAATCTAATTAGAATTTTAATTTAATTAAAATTCAATTGTAGAAAAATTAATTTTATATGTAATTAATGAAAAAAATTATCATTATCTAATGTACAATTGTTGATAAATTTTATTATGTTACAAAGGATAACCAAAAAAGCTTTCCCTCTCTATCTTTCTCTCTCTCGCTTTCTCTCTCTCTCTCTCTCTCTCTCTATATATATATATATATATATATATATACATATATAATATTATTGATAAGTTTATATAGCGCTAATTATGAAAATTAAATTTTTCTCAGAGGCGCAACGCAAGATAGAAAATCGAAACTCGGGGAAATTTGTGGAAACCATCTACTACCTTAACAGACAGTAGTTAGTAGTCAGGGTTAGGTTAGAGATAGATAGATAGAAAGAAAGAGAGAGAGAGAGAGAGAGAGAGAGAGAGAGAGAGAGAGAGAGAGAAAGAAAGAGAGAGAAATATTTTTACCTTTAGTAAAACAGCTTAATGATAGCATGTCAAATTGAAAGTGATTTATTGTACTCTTATCAGAGGTATGTAGGTTGTCAGTCAGACCAATTGATACTATATCAACACTCAATATATTATAATATATTTATAATAATAATAATAATCCCCTAAATATTTATATTATTATCATCATTAGCTACTGACAATCATACTAACTACATATTAATTCACATTGTGAAATAGAGATGACATAGTTAAATTAACCTTCATTCATTTGTTATGTTACTTATAAAGAAAAAATTTAATTTAAAAAAAATGGTTTTCACCATTATCATCATCACCACCATCGTTTTAATTCACCCACCACCACCACCACCAACATCATCATCATCATTATTTAGATTATCATCATCATTGTCATCATCATCATCAACGTTACACACCAATCGTCGTCACCCTCACCATAACAAGAATAAAATTAAAAATACGACCCCTTAAAATAACTGTTGAAAAACGTAAAAATTTTACTTTGTGCAAAGATGACAGTAATTATAGTTATAACATTAACCGAAACAGTGACAATAAACAGAACAATCATCATCGTCATCATCATGACGTCATCATCACATTATGACGTCACCCTAGCAAACAACCTTCGTTCTGGGGAGGATGTCGGGGTCGGCCTCAACCCTGGCAATGATCTCGCAGAGTACAATTCCATATGAGAAGACATCAGCCTGTGGTGATGTGACGTCATCGTTGTCGTCATCATCATTACTATCATCGTCATCATCATCATCATCACAATCATCATCATAGCAACCGTCACCATCGTCATCATTACCATTATCAAAAACCACATCACTATCATCATCATAACAACCACCACTATAACCATCATTATCATCATCAACAGTTACGTCAGCAATCTCATCATCACCACAAAAAAACCTTCTCGTTGTACTTCTTCCCAGCAATGCATTCTGGGGCCATCCAGTACGGAGAGCCAACAATCACGGGTGCAGAATTCGAACTATACACGTGTGTGTACGTGTGTGTGTATGTGTGTACGTGTATGTGTATGTGACAAGCGATTTGTGGTTATGAATAATGAATAATAATGTTAATTGCATATGCAAATTAAATCTCTCAAATATAGTCAAAAAAAAAACTTGAAGTGAAACTCTAGAAAAGCTCGTTCGTTTGTTGGATGGATGGATGGAGTTGGTTAATCATAAATGTGAAATCATTAAACTAGATAAACAACCACCATCGTCATCATCATCGTCATCATCATCACCCTCCTCCAATCCTTTCCTTACAATCATCATTATAATTATTATCATTGTCACACACACACAGACACACAAACACACACACACGTACTCAAATATACACACAAAGACATACATACACAAAGTCAAAGAGATACATAAACTTATATACAAACAAACACACGCATACACACATCCTATTACAAACAGAAACGCAGGCAGACATATACATTACATGCAATTTTAAAATTCCCACTAATTCAATTTAATGCATACCTGAAATTAAGGACTGTATATTTGTATGTATGTATGTTTATGTATGTATGTATGTGTGCATGCATGTATGTGTATGTATGTGTATGTATGTATGTATGTATGTATGTATGTATGTATGTATGTATGTATGTATGTATGTATGGATGTATGTATGTATGTATGTACATATGTATGCATGCATGCGAGCAAGTATGTTATGTATCTATATGGGTATTAAATTTCTAAACGCAATAACATTATATTAATTACTTAATTGCTCCATAACAACAACAACTACAACAACAACAACAATAATAATAATAATAATAATAAACAGAAATAATAATAATAACAAAAAGCATTGCAATTATTGTATTAGAGATAATAACTACTACAACAAGAGCTGATGACAACAATAACAACAACAGACAACAACAGCAACACAACAACAACAACAGACAACAAAAGACAACAACAACAACAGTTCAAAGAATTCAATTGATGACCATTACAAAATACTAATAAGTATCATTACTAACATTAAAAATTACTAATAAGTAATGGCAATAATGATATTACCACAAAAAAAACATGAATACAAATGTTGTTATTATTATTTCTTTTTTTATAAACGTAGCGTTGCCTACAAAAATAATAATAATTATAAAAACAACAACAGTAATAATAATAATGATGATGATGATGTAAAATATAAGTTTATTAGCAATTAACCTGCCAATCTCAAAAGTGGAAGTATTAAACAAGGAAGAATGAATATAGAGAGAAAACAGACACATACATCAATACACACACATAGACACACACACAAATACACACACCACACACACATAGACACACACACACACAACACACAGACATGAAGTAAACACAAGCATGCATAACCATAAGCATACATACGAAAAACCACAAACATGTAAACAAAAAGATACAAAAACTATACAAATAAAAATATACAGAAACACAAAAACATACATACAAAATTGAACCTAGCGGAAACCATACAAAAATCAAAGGTAATAAAATATAAGTAAAAACACAACAACAACATAAAAAAATACATCACTAAAGTACAATAACACTTAAAAAGTAATGAATGAAACATCAACATTATATACATGCAGACATGTACGTACACACACACACACACACACACACACACATACACACACACATAAATATATAAATAAACATAAAAAGAAATTTTATTTTTTGCTAAAACTTTTCCATCACATAAAGAAGACGAATGAACAATTGAACGCAAACAAGAAAGTCATAACGTATGCATACACAAATATGCGCAGGCATACAGAAAATACACACAAACTCATTAAATATAAAACTAGAACTACATAAACAATCAAACAAACAAGCAAGCAAGCAAACAAACAAACAAACATACATACACAAATACACACACCAGCATGAATAGCAATGAAGATGAATATATTCATTCAAAGATTCAATGTTTTTGACTACTTGAAAAATGAATGGAAATAGTCTGAGATCTTTGTTTGTTTGTTTACTTTGTGTTGTCGTGGGCGGTCATCATCATTATCATGACCAACAAAACTACCATCATCATCACCATCATCATCATCACCATTATCACTATCATTATCATCATCGTCCTCATCATTAGTATCACCATCAACACCACCATCAACGTCATCAACAACAACGTCGTCACCATCATATTATCACCATCATTATCATCATCATCATCATATTATCATCATCGTCCCATCATGAAGACTAAAGAACAGGGAAAACTAATCAATAATCCGCAATATAGATTGTGTGCTTAAATGTTGTGTTTGCTCACTCCATCACCACCACTACTACCACTACTACTACTGCTACTACTACTACTACTACTACTAGCACATTACCTCAAATAATAGTAATGCTATTATAAATAATACTACACGATACTGCAGTTTGTGCAGCGACTACCCCTACCACAACCGCAAATACTTCTACCACAACCGCAAATACTTCTACCACTACTACAACAGCTAATACTTCTACTACCAGTGCCAACCCAATTGGAATACTATAATTATTTTTGGTGAACTAACTCTGCCCTTATTTCTGATACAGTACTGGCGGCAATACTGTCATTAACCAGCATGCAATTAAATATCAATCTACCAATTACTGAATCTCGCATCACATATTTTATAAAGTCTTAACTTTCAAAAAATGGCCATCATTTGAAAATCACACACGCACGCGCACACACACGTCCAAACACACACACACGCACACGTCCAAAAACAAACACACGCACAAATGGAAAGACCAGAATGTAACACGAAACACAAGAGCATATGATTATTTGAGATGCACTTTGAATTGGAATAAAACCAATGAACAATTGTTTACCAAGGCAGCTACAGACACATGACAACTATTCTTCTGCTATCTGAGCCGTCTTACTGACCATTATAATCGGTTAACAGTTATACATATATATTTTTTTATTCCAAAAAAGTGTCATAAACCTCACTACAACTGAAAAAAAACTCCAAATATTATAAAAATTACTATAAAGAATACAGGTACTAACAGTAAACTTGGGATCTTATCGGCAAGTCCCAGGTCTGCTACAACAGCCACTGTCTTGCCGTCAGGATATTTCTTTATTAAAATATTCTGTCGAGATAAGTTTTATACTTGTAATGTATCATTTGATGATTTATTCATTTATTCGTTCATTCTTTCATCCATTATTTCTGTCATTTCTTCATTCATTGAATTCACTCATTCAGTTCAATCAATCCCTAACTCCCAACCCATCCATCCCAAAAGAGAAACCTTGGATGTCAAATCGCGGTGCATGTACCCACTGGCGTGGAGATACTTGACCCCTTTGGCGATGTCGCAGGCCAGGTGGATCCTCAGAGTCCAGGAGAGTGGCACATTTCTGTCGGCCAGCAACTGCTCTAAACTCCCGCCGTTTATATACTGATTAGGTGATTAGGGTAAAGTGGGATGATTGAATGAATGTTTGGCATTATATTTTTTTATTTTATTTATTTAAAATCATAAAAACATAATAATTGTAGAACAAATACTAAAATTATTATTATAATTATTATTATGCAAATATTATTGCGTTATAATAGTTATTAATAAAAACGAGAAGCCACACACCTCAACCAATGCATGCATGTGACCATCAACTATGCAAACTCCAAAGAATCTGCAGAAGACAAACAAAAAGAACAAAGGTCATTCAGATGATTTGTATAATTAAAAATCAAATAAATCATTAAAATTCAAAGATAATTATCTAGTAAAATATAGTGGAAAAAAAATTTGGAAATTATAATGAATAAATTGAAGATGAACACGTGTGAACAGTGAACATACTTGATGACGTTGGGGTGTGAGAGTTTGTTCATTAGTTGAATCTCTCGCCTAATGTTCGATCTATTAGTGTTTTTTTTATTCTTCTTCAGCACCATCACCTGCTTTGTGGTCTTATGGATGACCTATTAAAAAAAAAACAATTAAACTAATATTTTTAACAAGAAACATTTGAAAACATTCTTTTTGATTATAAAGAATGATGTTAAATATAAAAATTCAATGTCAAATTAATGAAAGAGAACTTGTATAAATTCCATAGACATAATATTAAACCAAAACATAATATAAACCAAACATGGCTTGTCTTCGATAAAAATTACACTTCTTACTATTGCATTGCTAATTACTTTATTACAAACTGTATTAATAATTGAAAAACAAACCTTATAAATGTTAGAAAAAAATCCAGATCCAATAAATTCATGTTCGAAGTCATCGATTCGATGTAGGGACGAAAGAGCACCTTTGATAGCTTTACACGAAGCACCACACGGACGTTCGACGACTTGATGAGTTTGATTGACACCTGCTTCCCTGACCACTCCATCTCTGGTCACTCCACATTTCACAAGACTCATAATGATTATGATTTCAACTGTTTGTATGGTGTTTGTTAATGCTGTTTGTAAATAAGAAAAATCAGAAAGTTATTGTAATGTAGTTATGAATATATATAAAATATAATAAATTAAATTAAAACTAAATATAACTATCAGTGAAAAAGCTGAAACAAGATTGTTATTGTAGGAATAAACTTAAGCTTTCATAAAGCTTAAATGGTAAAATTATTGTGATAAACATCAAATTAATAAATGATAATTAAAAAATAAAATGATTTATGAATTGGCAATTTAATTTTTTTCATCAAATTTTTAAAATTAATTTATATTAAATAAATATTATTATTAAATTAATTAATTTTTCCAAAATAAATAGAATGAACAAAGTTTGACACTTATAAATTTTTTAAATTATTAAAAAACTGAATTTTTACATAAATTTTGAAGCCAAAAGAAAAAAAAATTGAAAACCTAACTCTTACTACCTTAAAATTTTCAAACATGTCCACAAAGTCCAAAAAATCCTTTTTTAAAATCATTCGAAAGTTTAATTAAATAAATTCGGAAAAAATTTAAACAATACAGACGGTTATAGCGAAGTTTATTTCTAAAAATAATACTTATAAATAGCGTCCCCACAGTCTAATTCACTAATTAAACGGACATCATATATGTACGCGTGTGGTTGAGTGCTATATAAAGTAAACATAAGGATACAACGTTAGGTAAGGTAACTAAGTAATGGTCAGTTTTATCGAGAAAAAAATTACTTTTATCAAAATGAAAACTGTTTTTTGTATAAAATAATATTAAATATTACGTTATTTTAATTAAATTTTTAATTAATATAATAAGTCAAATTGTTTTTATGCTAGTTTAAATGAAAACATTTATTAAATTGTTTTACTTTTAATCTTTTCAAATCAATTTTTAAAAGTAAACTTAATTATATGCTTGTTTACATGGTTGCAGATTTTTTAAATATTTAATTAAACATAGCTTGAAATTTAAAATTTCTAATAGTTTCAGGTTCATATATTTGCAATAATTAAAAAAGTTTTTTGATCGATTGAAATAATGCGCAGACGGACTAAGAACTCTCCGACAGAAGATTCTCTGGATTCTAGTAGTAGCAGTAGCAGAAGAGGAATTGGACAGAATGATCATCATCACAAAAATTTTAATAAAAAGTAAAATTAAAAAAAAATTTAGATTAATTCGATTACAAATTTTTAAATTATAACTAATAAATTTAATATACAATTACTATTTGAATTTAAAAATGATGTTTTTTTTTAATTTTTCAATTATAATAATTAAATTTTAAAAATAAAAATAAATAAAATTAAATTTTTGGATCAGAGATCAACCATCGTCGGAGCATTCAGCAGATGCCAACAGTAGCAGAAATTTATTTTCAGATGTAAAAATCTGTTTGTTCTGTAATGTTCTCTTGCTTGCACTGTATGTTCACACATTGCATCCTTCCGTTACTGGTGGAGACTCAGGTAGGTTTTTTTTTGAGTAAATATTTTTAATTTAATTTTAAATTCACAGTTAAATTATTAATCAATTTTATAATAACAAATCTTATATATTTTTTAATAAAACCTGCATCAAGTCAAAAATTTTTTTAATTTCTTAAAACAAATAATAATAGATATTTGAAACTTCATTCTTTTGCTCTTAAATAGGTGAACTCATTATAGCCTCTTATGAACTTGGGGTCAGTATTATTATTATCATCATTATTGTTTTTTTATTTACTGTTATTACTTAATATTTACAATAATCAGTCAAAATTACTGTAGTATAATTTTTTGAAAAATCATTATTATAGAATTTTTCTTCTTTCTCGTGCCTTATCTTTTTAGGACATTAGCAACCATCGACCTCCACAAAACCTGATCTTTAACATTTTGTTAAAGAGTGGCAATGTGGTGATATTCAACAAGTGACACATTATGAATATTCATGATTGGAAAAGTATAATTTCCTCCCTAGGTGGCTCATCCCCCAGGCTACCCTCTTTTTACACTCATCTCCAAACTCTTCATCACGTTGATTCCAGTTGGAGGCATTGCATGGAGGGTGAACTTGATGTCAGCTGTCTTCAGCTCTTTCAGCAGCTTCCTACTGCAGCTTACCGTTTTGAGGTTTATTATTTTGGTTTTTACAAATAAAATACTTTTGCTACTACTACTACTACTACTACTACTTCTACTACTACTTACTACTACTACTACTACTTCTACTACTACTTACTACTACTACTACTACTGCTACTACTACTACTACAACTACTACAATTACTACTACTACTACTTCTATTACTACTACTACTACTACTAATAATAATAATAATAATAATGACCTTTGATTTAAACCTGATTTCAGAACGACCAAATGTATTGGGACCAGTCTGCTAGTCTTACCTATCTTCTCCCTGAACAACTTGACCTGGTTCTGGTCGACGTGCGCTGAAGTGTTTGCCCTAAATAACTTTTTCACATCTCTAATCGTCTTCACCGTCGTTGTTCTAATCGATGGTGGGGCCAGTGAATTTGATAGCAAGCTGTTTCGTGTTTTGAGTAAAGATGGTGATAGTAGTAGTGGTAGTGCTTGTACTAGAGACAGATTTCTATTACAAGTATGATTTTGTTTCTATTGATTTTGTGCGTTATTCTTTTAACTGTGCTTTTGTTTGGGCTGTTTCATTCATTTGTTCATTCATTCATTCATTCATTCGTTCGTTCGTTCGTTCTTTCGTTCATTCATTCATTCATTCATTCATTCACTCATTCATTCATTTTTTCATTTTTACATTGATTTAACTTTTTATTACAACATCATTTTGTGTAATTCAAATAGACAAATTTTTTTCAAAAAATTAGACAAATTAACATTACAGTTTGCGTTGTTTTTTTGAATCAGAAAGTTCAGATATTGGCATTTATTTGTGGGCTTTCCTTAACAAATCAACATACGATCGTCATTTATGTCCTGTTTGTGGCTTCTTGGGCGCTATTCAAACTTCATCGGGCCCAAGTTAGTGATCAGGGATGTGATGACGTGATTAGGGATGTAACATTAGAGATGTGAAGAAGAGAGAGTTATTAAATTATTGATGATGATGGTGATTTGAGTGCGACTGATGGTGGTGGTGATGTGAGTGTGACAACGTATTTGATAATTGTTATCACAAACATTTCAACAAACATTTAATAAAGCTGTTGTTTTGTTATTTCAATTCAATAAAGCTTCTTACAAGAAGAACGTTGGCTACCCTCACTTTCATCACTATCCTCTCCCTCTCACCTTACGTCTATCTCCCCATCTCATCTCACATGCAATGGGGAAAGTGGTCTTGGGGTGATCAGAGAAGTTTGGCGGGATTCTTCACCCACCTCTTCAGAGTAGAATATGGCACTTTTGATTTGGTGGGTGTTTGGATTGATTGATTGACTGGCTGGCTGGATGATTGACTGATTGGTTAATTGATTGACTGATTGGCTAATTGAGTGATTGGTCGGTTGTTTGATTGACTGATTGGTTAATTGATTGATTGATCGGTTGTTTGATTGACTGATTGGTTAATTGATTGACTGATTGGTTAATTGAGTGATTGGTAGGTTGTTTGATTGACTGATTGGTTAATTGATTGGTTAATTGATTGATTGATTGGTTCATTGAGTGAGTGAGTGATTGATTGATTAATTGATTGATTGGTCTGTTGATTTGTTAATGGACTGTTTAATTGATTGTTCTTAGGGCAAAGGCGGTATTGGTTCTGGCTTTCAAACAGCCATCAGGTATTTCAACCAACCATTTCAACCATCCCTACACATCCAGCCAGACATTTTATCATTCTCATTTCTCTACACCTACTCAACAATTTTGAATATATGTGGCAATGTGATAACATGAGAATTTTTCAAATTATTTTGATGAATATGTAAATTAGACAACAATTGAATAACTTTACATGCTTTCATGCTCTCCGTAGGATGTACTTCCATCATTTACAGTCGAGAATGTGTGAGTTGTGTCCGTGGCTGGCCCTCATTGGGCTGGTCACTTCTGTGTCTTGGTCAGTTCCTTTATGAATATTACTAACTTTTTTATTCAAGTAATTCTACTAACCTATTTGCATGCAGTAGATACGTGTACATACAAAACATACATACATTGCCTGCTTACAAACAAACAAATACCAATGCGTACAAACTTATACAAACGAACTCATACTTTCAAATACAGGTATTTAATAGACAAATGCAAAAGTTTAATCCTTGTATGTTTGATGACGACGACCTATCTCGGTTTTTTCTGTGTAAGAGCCAATCTGGATCTCAATAATGCTCTTCTTCTTGGAGTTGTTCGTTTGTTTGTTTGCTTTTATTTGTTTGCTTTTGTTTGTTTGCTTCTGTTTGTTTGCTTTTGTTTGTTTGCTTTTGTTTGTTTGCTTTTGTTTGTTTGCTTCTGTTTGTTTGCTTCTGTTTGTTTGCTTTTGTTTGTTTGTTTTTGTTTGCTTGCTTTGTTTTGTATTGTTTTTTTAATAAAATTTTGTCGTAACTTCTTTATGCTGTTTATGCTGTATTTATGCTATATATTTGCTTCACAAAGTTTTATGTGAGTTATATAAGCCTATTTAAAGCACGTATATAGCATATATATTTGCTTATATATTATAAAGCGTATATATAGCTTATATAAGTTTATATTATTTTTATCATTATGAATAATATTAATAAAAATTCAGGTTGAAAGATTTTGGATGCAGTCAGATATTGGTGTGTGTTTTTATTTGGAAGATTTTTTTATTATGATAATTTTGTAATTAATTTAATATAACGATGATAATAATTTAAGATAATAATATTGGAAAATTATTCTTATCACTTCCTATCACAACATTACAGCATCACATTAATGCATAATAACATTATTTACATTATAACATCAGGCTTGGTATTGCTTGCCTGTGTAGGCTACCATACGGCCATCAGGTTAATTAAATTAGTCTATCTATTTGTTGTATATTTAGCCATTGGTGTCAGTATTGTCGTTGTGTTTAATGTTGTGTTACTATCCTTATTAAAAAGGCGGTTTCTTCTTTTGTACGCTTTATCGTTCATTCTAATTTACAACTGGAGAATAGTCGTTTTGGTTGTATTGTTAATGACAAATATTTGCGGGAAAATGAGAAAATTATAGCCAGGATACGGATTCGGACTCTGATACAACGAATCTCGATTTCTTTGATTTGTCCCACTCCTAATTATCATCATCATTACATCGTCCTGACCACCATCATCATCACAGCCACATCATCTTCATCTTAATGATCATCATCATCACATCTTCATATTGATCGTCACATCGTTCCCTCATCATCCTCACCATCATATCTTCATATTATTAATCATCGCATCGTCATCGTCTTCCTCATCAGGTTAGTGGTGGAAAAATTTTTGGGAACATCAAAGGTGCCCATGACGTCTGTTTTCACCACGATGGGATCCATTATCCTTATTGCCCTGCAATTAGTAAGATATGTCACACACACACACCCCCCACACACACACACACATACACGCCACACACACACACCACACACACACACACAACAACAACAACAACGTCACCAAAACACTGACATTTACAACAATAACAACTGCAACAGCAAAACAACTACAGCAAATGCAACAACAGCAACAATTTTGTGGTTCACAATTTTGCGACGGGGCTACTCAGGTCCATGCCGCGGGGGGCCCTCATTCTTACTAAGGGGGACCTACCATCGTTATCATTAAGGTGAGGATATGAATGATGGTGAAAAGGTTAAAGTTCAGATGATTCAACAGCGCGCCACAAACATCGTATATGAATGCATGTTAAACGACGCATCACAAACAAAGCATGTGATAGGTTGGGATCTTTTTTGTCTTATTCGAACCCGGTTACTGCGCAACAGCACCAGGCGACACTAACCACTTGGCCATCACGCCGCCCCAAGAAGATAATGATGACGGCGTTGATGATGACAATGATGATGACATTACATTTTCAGGTATTTCCATATATGCGAAGGTGTGAGACCTGATATTGACATCATAGATGTTGAGGTCAGTGACGCTTACCACCACCACCACCATCATCATCAATCATCATCATCATCACTATCTCATTTATCTACGTCATCATATTATCAGATTATTATCATCTGATTCGTCGTTGATATCATCGTCGTTATGATCATTTTCATCATCAGAGGCAGCATTGCCATCGTCATCAACAGCATCGTCACCACCATCATCATCAGCATTATCACTTTCTCAGATACTCAGTTATCAGTGGTCAATTCGGGGTATCAAAAAGTTCAACCCAAGCGTCGTCATCCCCGGTGATGTTTGGAACCTAAATAATTCACTGCTAGAAGATGGAAGACATGCATTTAATTTCAAAACGTTTCTCGATGTTAACATTAAAAGGTTTGCACATTTTTTTTAAACCTATTCTGATTCATCATCGTCGTCGTCTTCATCATTATTATCATCATTTTCCTCTTCATTAACATCATTTTCATCATCATTATTTCCGCCATCATGCTCCTCGCCACTGTCATCATCATCTCGTTATCATCTACATTCTCATCATCACCATCGTCATCATCATCTCGTCATCATCATCATCATCCTTGACGCCAACAACACGACAGACGCCCGATATTTGCCTGCATAGGAATGCAAGACAGGGACCCAAGTTGGACCCCCCACTACAAAATATGGCCCTATGGGGTCTGCCACAGCATTCAGCACGTCACCAATCCACTGAACCCTAAACTATGGGCGGAGACTGCAGGTCTTGCCCTACATGAATATTCCATATCGTCACCTTACCCTTACATACATACCTATCCATATATTCACCTACATTATTAACATCAATGTTTGTTTTATTTATTCCAATAAATTAATTTAATTTTCCAAGTTAATGTTAATTAAAATTATGATATGCTACTTGTTGATATATGATAGTAAAAGAAAGAAAGAAAGAAGAGAGAGAGAGAGAGAGAGAGAGAGAAGAGAGAAAGAGAAAGAGAATAGCTAGTGTTTATGTTAGGTTCAATAGTTTACGATTAACTATTTGGTGCTAGGTGGCCTAGCTGACAAGTGGCGGTACAAGTATAACGAGTTTGATAAGAGAACGTGGGAGAAAGTTGCCAATGATGAGATGTGGCACGCTAAGTTAGTACTTGTGTTTGTGTTATTGATTGATTGTTGGTTAATTGGTTGGTTGATTGGTTGGTTGGTTGGTTGGATGATTTGTTGTTGGATGGTTGGTTATTGGATGGCTGGTTTTTGGATGGTGTGTTGTTGGATGGTTTTTTGGTTTATTGATTGATTGATTGATATCGTTAATTTAACTAACTGACAGACTAGTTATTTGACCGATTGAATGGTTGATTGATTGACTGATTGATTGATTGGTGGGCTGGTTGGTTGATTGATCAATTGATTGTCACTCCGCAGGATAGCCACAGCCTTTCACTTCTACAAGGAAGGAGTGCAATCGAATAACGATAACTACAAGGCCGATCTGCTCTACTACTCCTACGAGGTAATCATAACATTTGGAAATAATACAACAACCACTGCCACTTTAACAATAATTAATTAATTACGCAACAATAATAACTATCATAATTAGCAAATTAATTAATATTTATTATTATTATTATATTATATTATTATTATGGTCGTCACCACAGCTGTACTTCCGCGCCATAAAATTACACCAGCACCCAAGTCGAATGACCGACGTTGAAACTTTTCCTAGTTTCTGGCACAAAAATTTCGCTCTGGTCTGCGAGAAGTTGCTCCATGTGACGAAACCGCTGGGCCTGGATAAGGTTGCTTCTACCATAAGCATAACATTCAAGAGTTATTTAATGCCTTAACAAGGAATTAAAATATAAAAATAGTTTAAGAAGTAGATAATGAAAATGATGAAACTTTCTAGTCGAAATTCAGTGCAGCGGAGAACTTTAAATTTTTGAAACATCTACAGATAAAATTGTGCAAATCCAGCATCTTTCATTTCGAGCAGTACTTGCACCTCAGTCACGACGATGCAGACGCTAATAACATAATAAGCGCCATTCAAATCTTGAAACAGAGATTGGATGTTTTTAATAATTTCAAAAAGGTTTTGCTTCAATTCTTCTCCATTCCATAGCTTCAAATCACCGATAATTCATTTAATTATTTTCGGATTCCTGATTCTTCAGACCTCCTTTCAGAATAAAATTCAACGTTATTCATGTCATTTTTTATTTTAAAAATTTACTATTTAAATATAACTTGCATCACGAAAATCAATTAATGAAATACTTTTGAAGTTGCATGCTATTTATAGCATCTCAGCACCACTGCCATAATTTAACCAACAGGCAGACGAAACCCTCGAACGAGCGGCGAGAAATTTGGAAAAGTTGGATGGAATCGCAGAAAAAATGAGAAATTTCACACGAACAACAAGATAATAATCCCACCTTACAATATTTTAAATAAAATTAATCGGTCGACATCTTAAAATCAGTATTCAACTAAGTGTATCGCATACTTCAAATGATAGTCTCATTGATACAACAGCCTAATGAAACGTTGTTGAATCATGTTTCGTTTGTTTTCAACTGTACATGTGGTCCAGATTTCTACATCTCAAGCAATTTATTTACAAAACATTGTTACCGTTATACATAGGCATACGTATTTTAAAACGACTGATATTTCCTTTTGTCATCTCTTCATACAGAATCATGAACGTGTGAGCAATTTCTAGCGAATCATGTCATTAAAACTTCTATGAACCTACTTTTACGCTGAGTAGTTTTAAGTTTTTCCATTAAAATGGTGATGAAAGTTTATTGATGATATTAAACTTTAGCTTGTTTTACTGGATCAACGTAGCACAACTTTGATATTTATTTTGTTCAAACGAATCAAGTATTCAACTATTTTTCTTTTAATTATTTTTTTTCCATGCTATTCTTCAACAGCACGTTGAATGATTTTTTTTTTCATACATGCATGCAGCTGTTTTTTTTATTTGTTTCTGTTACTTGTTGATTGGAGTGCTTAGAATTTTTTTGAAAATATTTCAACAAAATTTTAATGAAATAAACAAAAATTTAACAAATGAATAGAAATTGTTTGAAAATTTACGTAAAATATCCAGCGAAAAACAAATGATAATAATAATACAGTGATATTTTTGATGAAGACGACGTAGTGATACGAATAGAAACAGTCAGTAAGTCAGTCTATCTCTTCAATGAAAAATTCTTCCCCATCATTAAGATCAACAACTGCATTCAAGTTGGAGACATGCTCTGTCGATGGCGGTTCAGAGGAGAGATGATACGACGATGCAACTTGAGTCCCACCATCAACACCAAATCCTCCATCATCATCTTCGTTCAGATCGGCATTCAGCAAGCCATCTTTCTCGTCAATTCTTTCAAGTCTCCATCTATTGTAGCCGTTGAAATTATTTATGCTTCTAATTTGAGGAATTAGTCGTGGGCCTAAGAAGTTTCTTACAGCTATGTCCTTTGAAGTAAGTTTATCAAGGTAAGGCAGATGAACAGTTGACAGTTCACTAATGGAATGACTTGTGAGTTTAAATGAAGTAAGAATTGAACTTTCAACATCTTGAATTTTCTTTTGAACAGTGTACAGTTGTGGCTTGTGTAATGGCAACCAGCCTGCTTTCTTAGGTGCATCGGTAGACTGAGCCCCATTATAAAATGCAATACTTCGAGTCACCAAGCTGACTTGATAGCTGGACATATTGGACTTGACTGACCACTCTCCAGTTGAGGCATCGGCCAGACTGAAATAATCACTAATCATTGACATATTCTCGATAGAGTTTGCAAAATCTGGATAATTTTGGTGAAGAAATGCACAATAGGTGTCAGAGGAGAGACATGATTTATCGAATATCCCATCAGGATTGAATGTTAGTGAGTTTCTGGAATGGTGGAGCAGATGATCAGGTAGGTTGCTACTTGCTGGCTCCATATCTTCCAATCTTTTGCAGTGCAACACTTTACCTAGAACTCTGAACAATGACATGCCTGGAAGAACAAATGAACAAAAATGAATAAATTTATACTACATAAATTTTCAAAAAATTTTACACAATAAAAATTAATCATGAAAATATACAGCAAAAACATTATAACGTAAGCAACCAAAATTACCAGAATCTTTGACTCCAACATAGCTAGATCTTTCTGAAGCATCACTAGATTTCTTTTTCAACATTTTTTTACTTTCCTTTTTATTGTTGTTGCTTCTATTGTTGACCTGAGATGTTGTTAAAAATTTTGAGGCCTTGTGAGGCAACCTTGCTCTGCTTGTGCAGATGAATTGCAAGGTCAACAAGGCTGATCTGATGTCGCCACTGCTTGTTTCAACTATTTCTTCCAACGTCTGTTGTTGATGGTTACATGAATTGACATTTTAATTTTCATTGTGGTGATTTTGTTTGAATTTTTTCAGTATAAATATCAAATTAAATATATTATTTCAAGTTAAATTAATCAATCAATCAATCTTCGTTTTGCGTCCGGAGACCCAGTTCCCCGAGTTAGGACGTCTTCAAGTTAATATAAATGCAAACAAAATGTTTATAATACAAAAGAAATAATACTAGGAAAATTGAATTACCTACATCTAACCTCTTTACTTGGCTGAACAAAACTTTTCAGTTTCAAACTGGATCCACTATTGGCAATCCTTTGTAAGGCTTTCATCATTGCGGTTGAAGAGATTGGATTGAACTTTATGACATTCATTTTTAAATTATCAAGTAGATTGGGTGGGAACAAGTGTCTTTTAATGTTGGAGGATTGATCACTGTCTGTAACAATGAAAACACATGGATAAGCACAGGATAATTGAGAATACTTTGTTATCAAGTCATGGAATTTCGCTGCATTTTGAATGAAAACATTTGGAAAATCTTTTACTAAAAATAATTTTTTCTCTCTTCCATCCCCACCAAAATTTAAACTGGAATAGCGATTTGCTCTAAATAAAAAGTCAGAAAATTTGGTGTATTGTGAATCTGAAGACACTGTTGAACATCTATAGTTTGGATAGTCATAATTATTAAGATCACTAGATTCATAGTCATTCAAAACAGGGTTGACCCATTCGATTATTTCAATGTTCAGCTCACTGCACAAAACATTCAATGTTGTTGTCTTGCCACAACCAGATGGCCCTGACAGCAGGATGAATGGTGTTTTCAGATTGGCCGATAACCTTTCTTTCAAGCAAGTTTCAAGTTCCTGAATCTTTGCTTTGTGGACGGCCAGCTCAGGCAGCGTCTTGGGTGCGCAGTGACTGACCCAGGACTCGTTGTTTGGCAGTTTCGGTTTTTTAACCGGGACATCAAAATCGGATGACCACTTTTTGAGCATCATTTCATTCAATGTCCAGATAACTTAGAAATTGTTCAAATAATAATGTTTTTTGATCAGGAAAGAATGTAAGACGAGGTAGCTTGTAAAAAATGTGACGTACACAAGATGTACACGTACTGTCAGTTTGAACTGAAGCGATGTTTAGTTGAATGTTGTTGACAAGTAATGTTGTTGAAGAAGTGTAAATAAAGTTTCCATTTTTAAATTAATATCGTTTATTTTTAGTGAAATGAAAAAAAAATGATAAAAATAATATTTAAATAAAACAGGATCAGGCTTCACTATCAACTGTCAATTACATTTTCAAAAAAAAACGGACTATTTAATTTTAAAATCTACTACTACATTTAAATTTTGAGCGATTTTAAAGTTTGCACCTAAGCAACGAACAACAATTTTTCCAATTTTATTTTATTCTATTTTGTCTATGCATCTCATGAATATATATATATATATAGATATAGATAGATATATATGTATCCATGATGCATCTTTAAAAAATTCATGGCATCATGATGTGAATTCTATATGAATTTTCACATAAAGAAAGTGAATTATAAATAAATTTTCGATAAATTATAAATGCTGAATGTTCATTGCCATAAAGAACCAACAAATTGAAGTTAATTCTGTATTAATTAATTTACATTTTACAACATATCTCCATGAGAAGCATTTGCAAAATAATAACAATTGTATAAGTCCATGAAGAGATGACGAAAAAATGCATAGATATATATAATAAATTATGTATTATATTATAATTATATATTATATCTATGAATAAATATGCAATTTCAGTTATTTGTATGCTTGCATGGGTATTATAGCTTATAAGTAGGGTAATGTTAGCATGTATATTTTTCATAATATTTATATATAATATTCTGTACTTAATTATTATAATTTTATATTATTTGTATCGTTACTATTATTAATATGCGTTAAAGAAGTGATACGTGTATAAGTGTGTTTGCTTTATTACATAATATGCACGTATATATACACATAGATATATGTATATATAATTATATATGCAAATATTATATATCCCAGGTGTTGAAAATTATTCTTTTTGATGTTAGTGTTTCTTTGCCATTGTGCATACTTGTTTGTGTCTGCTTGTGTGCGTGTGTGTGTGTGTGCATGTTTGTATTCGTGTGGTGTGTGTGTGTGTCTGTTTTGTGTGTGAGTGTGTGTGTGGGTGTGTGCGCGCGTAAGAAGTGTAGAATTGAACATGCATCAATATTTGTAACGGTAATATTTATTTACGATAGAAGACTATTAATAGCAATATTAAGAACTAATGCAAATATGCAGTGCACACATACACGCATTCATAAACTAACATACATACACACACACACACACACACACACACACACACACACACACACACATACATACATAAACTAACACACACATACATAAACTAATTCACACATACACAAGCACACACACATACATAAATATACACTCATATACACACACAGGTATAAACAAACACATGCAGATAATACACGCACGCAAAAACGTACAAACACAATCATAAGAACGCAAATGCGTTTTTGTGATACCCAAAATATCAAAGGTAGAAGACAACTTCGTAATTTTAATTGCTGGCAAAATATAAATATGCATAATTAATATGATCCTTAACATTAATTTCATATATATATCATATACCTTCATTATATGGTATATATATATATATATAAATATATATATATATATTGAATATCAAATATATATAAACACAAAACACACGCAGACACAATCGCATATTAATAGCATTTTATAACATGCATAACTCAAAATGTGGATGTATGTATGTATGTGTATATATGTTTGTTTGTATGTATGTGTGTATATGTATAAGTAAAAATGTGTGTATATATGTATGTGTGAGTGTATGCATATATATGTATGACCGTATTTATGTTTATAAGTATCTCGGTAAGCAAAACAATATAGTATATATGTTAGTGTGTTATATTAGTATATCAATGTATGAAAATATATATGCCCATACATTATTATAAGATAAATATGATATATGATATAGGATATATATGATATACGATACATATGATATAAGATAGATATATATGATATATGATATACATAGCGATGAAATAAAATTACAGTAAAATATATAAAAATGGCATTAGCATTGTATTGTTAGATGAATGGCTGGATGGATGTTATCGTGTTGCACTGTACTAGTTATGAGGTTTTCTTCGCCAGCCAATGCATGTTTATTTACATTATTTCACTGTATTTAAGTCTTTAAGATACGATTTCTTTTTATTAATTATAAAATCAATATAATAGAAAAATGTGAATAACAACAACAACATCAATAATAATAATAATATCAATAAAAATAATATAAATAATAATAATTATATAATAATAATAATAAATGACTACCTTCCGAACGCATCATCCAACACTCCATACCACTCTGCGACGCTTCATTAATAATTAAATAAATAAATAATATACAACAACAATAATAATAAAATAATAATAATAATAATCATAATCATAGTAATAATAATCATAAAGGTTTGTTGGAGATGGTACCGTAATAATATTCGTTCGGTTAATTATTATTCCGCTTCGGTTGGTGCAAACTCTTTCATTTTTTTTCTTCCATTTTTTATTCTTTCATTCACTCACTCACTCACTGTCTTATTTTCAGTTTAACTGTAATAATATTAATTATAATAATAATAATATTATTATTATTCATGATATATTATGTCGTTATTATGCTATAGGAAAGTATATATGAGAGAGGCACCCTTTTGAACTGGTTTATTTTCCATCTTGAATGCTGCGTAGAGCGTACGATCCCGTACCATCGAACCTGTCGCAGTAACAACATGGTAGTAACATCTTCATTTCAATTACTATCTCTACTACTAGTACTGTTGCTTCTACTACTACTACTACTACAGCTGCCGCTACTACTGCTACTGCTACTAAAGTAATTTTAGGTTTCAGTATTGTGTCTTTGTGTGAAGTTTTTTGAATGTTTACACCTTATAGCTGCATCCTTGATCATAATCTGGAGTACACGTCTGCAAGTTCGCACGCACGCACCTCTGTACAATTCACTCATACAAACGTACGTTCGTGTACGCCACACGCACACACACACGCGCGCACACACATGCGTACACACACATACATACACACACACACATACGTACACTAAACTTAATTACACTCAAAAAAAATTATTTTTCCTAGTGAAGATTTTTAGAGCACTATATTTGAAGAAGGAAGTAAGGGCGGAAGGAAGGAGTGAATAAATGGAAGTATAAATGACTTGAACCATTTAAGGACAAAATGAATTCTCAAGTTCAGCAGCAACAACAACATCAGCAGCAGCAGCAGCAACAACAACAACATCATCAACAACATCATCAACTTCATTCAAACGAATATTACCAACAACATCATCAACAGCAAAAATTTCTTGCTCATCAGTCTGGCTACAACAACAACAACAACAATAACAACACTTACTTAAATAGCAACAACAACAACAACAATAACAACCAGATAAGTAATTATACTACAAACAGCAACAACGATACTACCACAAATACTTTCGAATACGATGGCGTCTCCAAGGATTCACTTCATAATATAAATAATAATAATAATTTAAATAGTAATAATAATAATAATAATTTAAATAGTAATAATAATTTAAATAATACTAATTTTAATAGTAATAATTCGAAATCGCAATACTTGATTGGTGGATCAAACTATGTGGACAAATACCACATCAGCAGCAGCAGCAGACATTCACAGGTTCATAATTATTTTTTAATTATAAAATTACTCGCTGGCGTGCAATTATAATTATAATTACATTTTTACACGTATTTAATTGTAGGGTAGTAATTAGTGCAGTCGTGCAACAATTACTGCCAGAGTTATAATTGTAGTAGTAACGGTTGCAGTTTAAGTTGTTGAAGTAGTAGTTGTAGCAGTAGTAGTAGGTGTAATAGTAACACTAGCTGCTATACTAGTTGCTGTAGTAAAAGAAGCAGTGGTAGTAGCTGTAGTAAGAGTAGCTGTAATAAGAGTAGCAGTAACAGTTGCAGTAGCGATGAGAGTGGCACTTGAAGTAGCAGCAGTGGATTGTTCCTTACATACATTTAATTTGTTTTTCAGAAAAATTTCTTTCGATCCAGGTCAAATCGGCTACAATTTTTTTTTAAACGTGTCATCCAACTAGGCATAGTTTCTTTTCGGTCGGACATTGACGCTCCATAAAACTTCAATATTTACCTTTACACAATGTCACATCTTTCAAGTAGCTACTCTCTTTACTTTTAAAATTTGAAACTCCCATCTACCCGCTTATACAATATAGTTTTTAATGTGGCCGTACAACCCTTTGCACTTTCGCATCCTGTCTTTCCAACATCCCAACATCCGAACCAAAACTTGCTAGTAGCATATTTTGAAATGAAACTTCACCCGTCTAGAATGACTTGCTATCCGAACTTAGAAACATCAAGTCTGCTGGATTTTAAATGCAAAACTTTCATCTCTCTCAGGCATGTTCAGACAAACTCTGAAGCTGCTGTCTGTCAAGCGCTAGTAGCTGTGTAGCCAGTTGTGGCAGTAGTACTAGCCGCAGCAGAACTCCAAAAAGTGTTTAATATCAAATTTTAATATGAACACACTTAACGCAGAGCCTTGCTTACGACAACCTCCACCAACAGCCCAACATGTTTGTGGCCGAACACTGTGGCATGCCATACTTCCAACACAACAACAATGCTGCCAACAACAACAACATGTTGATGAATATCAATGCTCACAGCAACAACAGTCATCATCACAACCTCAACAACAACAACAACAACAACTTTTTATATAACCAGTTCATGACATCGCATCAACACCAT